TCCCGTCCTGCCATTGGTCTGGTCCATTGGTCTCTAAGCCCTTAGGCTTAAAGCTTAAGCTCGTAAGCCCGAAACCCCAAGCTGTAAACCCTAAGCCCTACGCCCTAAGCCCTAACCCTAAATGCTACGCCCCAAACTTGTCATTAGTCCATCTCGTGGAGTCATGAGGCTGTGGTCTGCCGCCATGCGGAGCAGGCCAACAGGGTTCACTGCCCTTCTCCAAAAAGCCCAGGGTTGAGGGGGGGTTGTTTAGGGTTGAAGGGTTTGGATTCAGGGCTTAGATGTTGAAGTGTTTAGGGTGTAGGGTTTGGGGTAGGGGGCTTAGGCTTTCGGGGTTGACGTTCAGGGTTTAGAGTTCGAGAAGTGCTCGCTGTCTGCTCGTGAAAGGTAGAACCAACGGCATAGGGATTTGGGGATAGTTGGACTTCCTGCAAGAGCAAGAAGCAGGGATAGGAGTGGAGAAGGAGCCGCTATGTCAACTTTGCTAATGAGCAAGCGGGTTAGCAATGTAGACTTCTGATTTGTCAACCCCACTTTCATTAGGGCTTCTGATCGGGATCCTCACGATGCTGTCCTTTAACCGCAAATCCTGAATATTCATGTGAAAATTTCTCAACATAGCCACAGCTGAATTTTCAAGTCTGCCTCTTCGAGCCCCTTTTATGAGCCATATCTAAACTCCTGGGGTTATACAAGGGATTAAATATGGAACTACTATAGGGCTTAGTTATTGGGGATACCCGGAGTTCAGACTACAGCTCCTCAGTCTCTAGAATCCCAAACGGCCCAACCCCCGGACCCTGAGACCGTAACACCAGAACCCTGGGCCCTGCAACCCTGAGACCCCAAAGCCCTAAACCCTCCCGAGAAATCTTGGGGAAGAGAGCTTGGCCAAAGCCCTAAACAGTACTTTCCATTTTCTTTTCCATTGTGCTTATACAATCCTATATACCTTATAACCCTATATACGCTATGTAATAACCTTATACACCCTACATAACCCTATTTACACCAAAATAAGAACTCCAAGCATCAGGCCACGTTGTTGCCAATGTTTTGCAGCCTCCGAGAGTGTCACAGCCCAAGGATAAATCCATTCGCAGACCACCTCAAGCGATCCAAGAAATAGAGTTCCCTAACAAGGACTTTCGTTTGAGGGCTTTGGATCCAAACATTACCCCGACTACTAATCTCCAACTTTGCCTGAAGTAGTAATGGCCTCATTTTTCATCTTTGCGGCTTCCATTTTGTTGGATCGCTTCGGGGTCTCTGCTGCTGCTCTGGGGACAGATCCAGGCTGTCAGGTCCTAGCTGCCTTCCTTGAAAGAAAGCACCAAAACGCATGATATGGATGATATGGGGACTTGCCAAACTTAAAGGTGCCGTTTTCTGGAGTGCCCGGAACAAGAATTATGGTACTTTTGGTGCCTAGATTGAGTAATTTGACTAGGCCCTCTAAGCGGTTCACAAAGGCAACCACTGCCATCAAGGAAACCGAGAGGTTTCTCAAGTAAAAAGGGTTCAAGTGATAACGGCCAAAATAAGATGGCTATGTACTATATACCCGACGCTGTAAACTGAAACCGTATTTTTTGCCTACTGCAAACACGCATCATTATATATTCCCCACACAGCCCCTCAGAACTTCTATAGCACGCTTTGCACAATTCCTGCTCTGCTCTTCCGGTGATTCTCCCAAGGTTTCTTGCGACCGGCCTGGCGAATTCCATCTGTGCTGCTGCAGAAGGACTTCTGCTTCAGCAATGGCGACGGTAGTAGCACTTGAAGGTTCGTGGGGCAAAGTAATTACTTATACCTTGACCTACAACCCGACTTATCATTGGAGTAACCTACACAAGTCCAGTTAGGGGATTATATGCAGGGCTATAAGCCCAGTTATAAGTAGTTACTAAGTCGCACGAACCTTCAAGTACCATCGCAGTGATGGCAGTGGCCTTAGCAGCGCGACAATTCGTGGTATTGGTGGTAGCAAGGGGCGGGGATGGGTATGCCATGGAATCTTTAAAAAGCGGTGATGGAGCCGTCCTGGCACTGTTTCTCAAATCGCCACTACTGGCAATGGGCTTGGCAGCAGTTAGTCATTTTAGGTATTAAATTGCGGCCACCCTAGACGTAGTTTATGGTCTCGAGATGCAAATCTGAAAACATCAATCCTTGATCCGATCCCCCTTGCCTACAAACATCAGCTCTTCAAACTGCGAGTTCCTTGCAAGAAAATTCTTTGCATCACGCCGCAGGAGCGTCCGCTCCAGCACCGGCGGCTCGAATCAAATGTGGGTGTGTTGCCAAACTTTGGGTTCTGCGTGGGCTTACGCTGAGGCTCTTGCTGTGGCAGTGTTGTGCAAAAGGGTCTTGCTTCTTGTGGGAGTTTTCTGGCTTGATGGGGATGCTTCGTAATGATTGCACAGGCTTGTGAAAGAAGATGAGCGATTTGGGTCCAAACAGCTCTCTTTCAACGAGATTTGAAGGAGAAGCATAAATCAACAGTGGCATGTCTTTGCTTCTTACTGGAAGGCATCAAGTGACATCTAATAAACCTCTCTCAAGGTGGCCCACTCGATCTACCAGCAGTAAGCACTTCCTAAGTGTCAGACATGTACACATTTACAACCATGATGACCCCGTATCAGGCGCTAGAGCGTGTAATTTTGCAAAGGGCGCTGTAGTCAACAAAAGCGTCCCGGCCCGAGGAAGACCTCTGGCAAATTCCAAGGAAAAGGATATTCAAAAAAGCATCACAAGCAAGGAAAAAGCCTTTGAACAAATATTACTTGCAGCTTCGTGTGGAAACTTGAGACAGGGCGTTAGTACACTTTGGATTTCAAATATGGCTGATTGAAGTTGATACTAATTGGGTAAGCGCCTCGAGGTGTTTACCCAATTGGTAACGGTCTTCATGGAACAGTTCAACTAATGCTCATTTGGACTGAGTAAGCCTCTTAACAATGCTACCCAACAACAGAAAACTAGCGGAACAAATTTTGCCGGTTTCATAAGCATGTGTGGTAGCTTGGCTTGAAGGATCAAATAGACTCGCATATCCCAGGCTTACCGTCCCGTGAAGGAATCTTTCTGGCAGAGTATGGTGACGGGAAGAAATCCGGCACCAGTCAGTCTCATAATGGGCTTTTTGGTTTTGTTATTGCGCGCGAAAGGAATTGGCATGACAGCTTCTCCCATATGACTACTCGGAAAAAGGTGCCCCAATGGGTCCCAAGCATGTAAGTTCAAGCAATGCATCATGCAAAAAGGGGATCATTGACAGGCTTTTGCATAGGCTCCCTACACTTCTGACCTCCAATTGCAGCATTCAAATCCTAAGCTTACTCGCCACGTCTACCCTTGGGGGAATGTGCGCCAATGAGCCCTCTAAATGCTATGAAAACCCCCAAACCCTTGAGGTAATCCAAACCCGCGTGACCCATGAAGCATTGAGGTGTCGAGAGATCAATGGTGAGCAGATTCCATCAGCCACGTTGGCATCCCCACTGCGCACCCCGGCACCGGAGCATATGCTTTTAGTAGCGCTATTCTTTCTACTCTCTTGTTCCTGTGTGACATTTGTTAACATTATTCTTAGCTTCAGTACTTTCCCTTAATACTCCACGATTATTACTATCATGATTTTTACCGGTTATGGTTCAGGGTTTGGGATTGAGGGTATACTGGAACTGTATACCGGAACTTGAAATCAAGGATTAAGGGATTGTTTGCGTGCATTCGATTTTCGAGACACCACAAAGGAACAAAAGCATGAACCGGGGATGGTCCTAGCCTACATGGCGAATCCTATGGTTTCAGATGACCAGCTAGCCTGCAACCACATGTCTTCCTGAATCCCATTCGAAGTGTTCGTTGAGCTTCCAGGGATTACGCCTGCATTTTGAGTCTTCTGACATGCATTGATGTGTGCCCAGGTCTCCTGTTAGCCATCTATCGCGTGGATGATGATGAGGGGCCAGACGAGCCCGACGCCAGCGAAGTGTGAGCAGTTGAAAAAAAGCGACAGAAATCCAGGAGAGATGTGCCATATAGTGGTGTTCAAAAACTGGGCCCATTCCTGTAGAAGAGTGCTTTTCAAGCAAACCCCCAATGACCATGCGTCGAAACATACTTTCGACCTGGAGAGAATCAAACGCACGGATTGTCTTTTCAGGCTTGCCAGTTTAAATTGCCGTTAGTTGCTACTAATGCCACGAACAAGACTCCTTCATCTCCAGCCTTAGTTGACTTAGGGTCATCAAAGCAATGACGTAATGACTGGGGTTCATTCCCGCCTGTAAAACTGAACTCAGCCTCCCCCATCCGAAATTTCTGGTACCTTGCATTTGGACTTCATTTCAACCATTCCATGGGAAGGGAACTGCTGTGTGAGATGGTTCGACCCTTATTATCATTACTATGACTCTCTATGGTTGTTTCTAGATGTTCTCAACGACAGCTCTGCCAGTCTAGTTGCATGCCTATGGAACTCTCTTGAGCTGCGAGGTTCAGATAGCAGTTGTGCTTGCGACTAGGGTGCTTATAGCGTCTTGATGGATTTCGTGTCCTATGAAATGATTTCATCCATGATCCCATTTCTGTGGTCCTGAGACTGTGAAGGTTTCTAAAACTCAGGATATCCAAGGATCTTAGGGTTCTCGAGGGCTCATAATAAAGGAGGTTGGGGATTCCATGTTCACATTTGGGGCAAAATTGTGAGTATCCGGAGAAAGTGCCAAACTCATGTTAAGTAGAATGCGGTCCCACTGGCCTACCAAACTTGCAAGAGTCCACGTTTACCCTCCAAAAAGTTGTGCGGTGAAACTGACATTTGGAGGATCTATCGCTTTCATTTGGAGATTCCTTGTGGCCTTTCATTTCTTGGCCGACACCACTTCTATGAAACTGTTTAACCCTAAGCTGTCTGGAGTCCCCTTGTACAATTCCTGCCCTTGAGTTGACCTAAACCGTCCACATCAGAACTCGACTCGCAGCAGGTCACCGTAGTCGCGGTAGAGAGGCAGGATGGCTGTGTTGCACGGTAGTACCTAGAGGCTTGGTTTAGGATTGAGGCTTTTGGGTTGGTGTCCAGAGTTGTTGTGCCAGCATGATAAGGCAATCTTCAGCATCAGTACGAGTGTGGTGCTTCATTTAGGGGACTTCGTATTTGGAGACAGCATCATTGTACCATTTCAGCATGTGAGCTTTGAAGTGTGGACATAATGGGGTGACGTGCGCCAGGGTTTTGGCACATCCAAGAATTTGCTACAGAATTTCTGGAGAAACCTCCGCTCAGGGAATTTTCGGTCGCCACACATCATTTGTTGAGGCTTATATTGGGCCAACTAGTCATAAAGTCATCATAAAAGAAACAACTACCAAGACCACGCATTCTCACGATTGGAGTCCAGCGGTCAAAGGCAGGCGATGCAGGATTTCGCTCATGCGACTCCTAAGTTTGCAAAACATCTTGCAAATTGCTTTGACTGTGCTTGAAAAGATAAAGAGTCACTAGTCATCACGGTATGTCCATGCATCAACAACCCAGAACCGAGAAGCCCGGTGTTGAAAGATGCCACGGACGAAACACCACATCCCAAAATGATGACTTGAATCTTGGAGCATCTGAACCTTTGGGCGCCTTTTCCCGCTCTGCTTTGCTCGGAGACCATGCTCCATGCCCCCAGTAGATCACATAACCATATGGATAGTCAGCATCACATGGGGACAATTTGAACATAGAAAATAGGCAGACCCCCAGATTCCTCTTACGGATCGAAAAAATTTGTCTTGTCATCTCTCCCAACACATTGCCCTGTGTTATTTCACAGGCCTAAATTGGAGGAGGCTTCGGGAAATGCAATTTTAAACAGCCTCATGATAGCCCAACTGTAACTTCATAGTGTTCCAAGGCAAGTAGTTTACCGAGCATAACTTGAGGAATCTTTCAACACCAACCCTAAAAAGAACTATCATATCATTCTTATTCGGTAGTTATTGTGGAGGGGCTTACCAACATCCTCTTATTACAGCCCCCTGACACCTTCAAAGTACACCTGAAACTCCTAACTTTCTGCGGCTTAGTGAGGAACACGGGAGTATGTTATACACTGATTATATAGGATTATATTCCCTACTAACGACTAGCAAGTTAATTTTTCAAGTCCATACACTACACTTAAATGTCCCTTAATGTAGGTTGGACGCGCGCCGCCGCCCGGCGACTGGGAAGGCCATCTGATTGCTGAGGAAATCCTCAGCAGTCCAAAGGTCACGGGACGATGTCTAGGCTACTCAAAACCACCAATCCCTACCCAGACCCCTGAAGGATCCAAAATTGGAACACCCGAAAGATCATAAAATTACTATGAACAGCAAACCGGGCGCAAATAAAGATCCTTGGCAAGTGTTCTAGATATAAACTTTTGGGGTTCCTTTCATGGAGTTGGTAGCCCCCACAAGAAATCATTGGAGATTGTTGGAATTTTTGTTTGATTGATACTTGGGCCCTGTGCGGATTATCAGGTTCAGGGTTGGAAGCCTGAGCTTACAATATTAGGAGGTTCAGCTTTCCGGTTCTTGGGGTTCGTGAGAACAGGGCTCTAGCGTTTGGGAACATTAGGTTAAAGATTCGAGCTTCACGAGTTCCTGCTTTGAGTCTCTGTTGTTGAGTACTTGAAGAAGGTACAACTCCCCAACCTGATGCTGGTTTTCGGGAGCCGGACTAACATCGAAGGAAGCTATCAGAAAGCAACCCCGCTGTGCGGTTGTTTGCGCTCCAGTGAACCCAGAAACTCCCAAGTTGAAGCAGCAGCCATGATTTTGTCCAATTTGCACACAATCTCCGTGATCATCAGCGATCACAGCACAAGGGATGCTTTGCGTGCCCAACCAGGTAATGTACTTGAGGCCAGAATCTTCATGCTTCAGTGAGGCCTCTGAACATGGACCCAGAAAACCCGAATGAGGTCGCTTTCCTCGAACAATACCCTGCCATAGGAATAGGGTCGAAAGTCCTCCACTAGCAAGGGCAGGGAGCTACGCGCATGACCCAGACCGGCAGAGGTTCCCCAAAAACCCTTTTCCTGTGTTTTCAGATCCTGTGAAAATCTTGGAAACGCGGTGTCAGCAACAGAGCTATAATTCATCCTGCCACATTTTGCCAGACCGGAATGGCCGAGAGTCGAGCACTCAGTGTTGACGACGAGAATGTCTGATCAGGTTTGTGATGGTTTTGTTCACCCTCTAGGCGACTAACATCGCTCACATGGAAAATCTTGGCGATTGGCATTGCTGACATGGATGATATGTGTTCTGGTGTTCTCTTCCCAAACCGCTTGTACAAAATCATCCCAAAACAGTATTACTTGACCAGCAGATTTTTTGGGTTAGCCTTGTTATGCGTAGGAATCGTTTTTCTGTGCAGTTGGGATTGCTGCTGGAACGTGCTTGATGGAAGGCATGAGCTCATGTGGCGCACGGCGCACGTGCAGAAATCCCATAGAAATCCATAGCTGATCTTGAGCATGGAGCATATCATAATTTCAGCACCATAGGTTTGACTTCTTATGACTACCCGCGCAGAAGCGCTGCATAATCCTCGTCAAGATCATGCTGTCGACATCCTCCACCAGAAGCACACAGCTAACCCAAACCCACAAGAGTTCGAATCAAAACTTGCTGGAGTTGCAAGCGTTGCACTTCTCAATCACTAAGGCGGCACAGGTCGCGACGCGACTCGAACCGGGACAGGTGGCCTTACCAGCAACAGACTGCCTATTTCAACATCAGAAGTGATACATTCTTTGAGACCTCCTTGTTGATTCTTCTAGATATTTCCCGTTTGCTTACATGGACCTAACAGGAAGTCAGCAGTTGTAGACCCTAGTGCGGAAGTTTAGGCAACTTATTGTTGCAACGCAGGTCTAGGATTTGGCTTGTTGAATTCCGATGGTTCAGCAGGTCGGTTGGCTGTCGTCCCTGCTTGATGCTGAAGCGGCCCTTGCTTTTTGCCCTGAGCTACATCTCGAATATTTTGCGAAACAAAGCGGCCTGTCCACTCCAAGCCGTCCAATGCAGCCAAAAATTTGTACGGAAAGGCCATACTCTTTTGGGTCTACATTGAAGATGTGGAAACCATTACAGCCCCCAACTTCTGCTTACGGAAACAAGAACGTCTCAGCTTAACGGAGCATTCAGCTTACACGCATCGGCGAATTTCTTTCTTGGTCCTGGCCTCAAAACATGTTTGTTTGATTCGCGTGAACAGAATCCCAACGTGTACCCCAGCAGACTCCTGAACCTCAAATCCAACTGCGTGAACCTTCACCCATTCCTTCATGTCAGGCGGTCCCCTCGGGAAGCGAGTAGATCACGGACTTGGACGAAAGAAAAGGCTGGCGAGTTGATTTGTGTTGTGTAGATGTCAACGATAATCGTTAAAGGGCTGCAAAGCTTCTTATTTCCACCCATATCACTACAGGGATCCTCTGCGCAGCGTGGGGTTCCGGAAGTAGGGATTGGGGTTCGTTCGGTCTAATGGTTTGAGGGTTCCTGGAGAGCAACTTGGTGCCTGTGCTTACACTGATTCCGTTTAGGGTTCTTTCTCACATGATTCAAGCAATGCCATCTCCGTACCAAAGTGCACTTGGGGTTCCAACGAAATGATCTCGGACTGAGAGGTGACAGTTTTGAGTGGCGCGGGGAGCTTTCTCAGAGATGTATGTAGAAATCTAGTATGCATGCATTTGACACTGACGATGCCCAACATGGACATCATCTCTTTCAAAGCCTGGTTGCAGGCACCTTCCTGGCAGGTGTGGCGCCGAGAAAAGCCATGTGCGTAGCATGCAATAATGTGAGCAAGGGCTCCTCATGCAGCATCCGGCTGCACAGTTTTGTTTGTTTGCCTCCAATCAGGCTTGCTTCCTAATGATGTGTCTGCATGCACAGAAGTCATTGGTTGCATTCAGGGCAGCAAAAACTACAATTAAGCCAACTTCCACAATCATCCACCGGCACCACCGCTACTCCCGCAACAGCCACAACAAGGCCGGAGAGTTTCATCCCCTGTGCGCTGCCCAAAAAAGTTGTCCCAGAACATATCCTCAGGATTGGTTCACGTCATGCAATTGGACCGGGTCATTAAGTGTCTTAAAGTTTAAAGGGCAGAAAGGCAGCAGCGACATCACAACCCGCATGGCTAAACACGGACACTGCTAATACTCATCATCACTACGCAGTCAAAATGGCAGAAACAATCACACGGATACTGCCATGCACGAAGGCTGGAAAAATCAAAAGGCAAACAGCAGTGTTGCAACAGTAGCTACAGGGTTACAGGAGAAACTATGAATCTGGATTCATATCCTTGTAAACAGGCCTTGGCTCAACATGAAGCGCAGGAGTGGGCATACAGCTGGTGACCATGTATGCTGTTCAAGGAAGCCACTGCTAATCTCAATCATGTTGTTGACCCGTAGATTCGTAGACATGTAAAATCGTCTAATTCCAAGTTGTTTTCCTCAAGCCCGAACCTTGACAAGTATATAGCAGTCATGAGCTTAAATTCACTGAGGAAACTTGCCGGCCAAAGTCTGCAGCTCGCCCCATGGCGTGTGGGGCTCATTTTGCCTTCACATAATGAAGAAGCGTCAGAAAGGTTGACTTTCTAATTTTGCGCACTGGCCAAGCGCAACTGGATTTGCAACCTGAAATTATGCCAAAACGGTGGCTAGATTGACGATAGCAGCAAGACATGCAGCAATACTGTGAGTACGCGCATTTGCTGTCTGTTGCGAATAATGACGAGCAAGCTCCCTTGTAGGACAGTAATGAAAGCATGAGCACAGCAGGAACCCCAGAAGACTAAACTATTTGCTCCGGTAGCAGCTTCCGCCGAAGTTTCATACTTATGATTTGCACTTACGATTTGAGGCGGCCCTTCTTGAAGACCTCGGCAATCAGAAGCTTTCCAATGATTGTCTCAAAAGTCCACAGCGAAGCCCCCGAGTCTGCATATTCGGTTCTACTGGTGTTAAGAGCACAATCACCGTGTTAGTTATAATTGCGTCCGGAGCCCAAGTACAAGGGTCACATACGTGTGGGCCAAATTAGCATGTTTCTGAAGATTTGATGTGGTTTTGGGCTTCGATTTAAGCTTTGCAATATAAGTCCAGTTTACATATGGGGGTGCCTGAACATCTGTGTTTGCCCCAAACGCTGTACAGCGCGAATCTGGTACAAGAAGCTCATCTTCCCAGGGTAGCATACCTTTACTTTCTCAGTTTTTACAATGTTTTCCCAAGTCACCGGCGGGCCTCGAACTCGGGCACCTTTTTTTTTTCAGCGATTTGCTTGCTGTGAGCCAAAATGCTAACGGCACTTCCATCGTCATCACCGTGGCACCCAAGGCGTGCAAGTTTGCCCCCATGCAGTAAGAAAATAAACCGCGCTAAGTTTTTTTTACCTGATCCCTTGGGCTCCCTTCAGTTCAAATCATTTAAGCAGGAAACACATTGCGGCGATCTCTGGAGCCGCACCAAGTCCTAGAAAGTTGCACTGTCTGCAAATTGTCGGTTTGCACCGCCTTTTTTCTGCCTTCCAGCGAGGTCCGTCATTGCCACACCTCAAATCCTGGCAATTTGGCACGTCCGCTAAAAAAGCAACCCTCACCAGGTCCTTTGGTCACCCTGTGCTTCGAAAGTAGGCCCCCTTCTTTTCTTAACCCTAGTTTCTGAGCCAAATGCCCAAAAACAAGGTGGCTCAGGGACTTAGCACATGGTCCGGCTAAGAAACAAAGGGGCGCTTAGTGTGTTAGCCGGGGGGAAATTAACAGGCTGGACCAAAATTTAGGGTACCCTAATTTCCTAGACTAAGAAGCAGCTGGAAATCGTGTTTTGGGCAGGCTAGGGGTTCGTTTCTTATAGTGGTTTCTTATACAATAATTTCGGCTGCCATGGACGATGGCCCTCACATGTTTGACGGAAACTCTGAAAAGGCTCACCTCGGCCGCCTTCTGCTCACTGCTGAGAAATTAGTTTGGCAACGTTCTTAATTGGCCATGGCTGTATTCGGTCGCATCTACCCAGGATCCGGCCATTGTCGTCGCCGGGGTGCTGCATTTGAGCCTGGTGTGCAGCAGGTGCAAGAACAAGTCGCCGCGCGTGCTCTGCCTGTGCCACTGGTAGGCGCGCATACTGCCACAACGCCTTATTGCCAGCCTGGCCGGGAATTGTTTGAGCAAACTCCATAAACTATCCACGCTGCTTGCGTTGACATGCACCGTGCGGCCCGCAACACGTCAACGATGGCCGCAGCATGGTTGCATTCTCTACTGGGCAATCCACGGGCCCCACACCGTTCTGGGTAGCATCTAACACTGCCTGTCAGCAAATAGCACGCTTGCCTTTGGCATCGTACGGATCCACAACTTGGATTCATGGGGCGTGGCTTGGACTAATGGGGCGAAGCTTGAATAAGTGGCCGTGCTTGAACTAATAATGGCCATTATAAAGTTAAATCAGAACTACTCCTCTCCTTAGACTAATGGGGATCAGCTTGGACTCGTGCCAGGCGAAATTTGGACAACCGGGAAACCCGCGTTCTCATGGTTTGGGCATTGATGCTTCGGTTTCGAATGGTTTGGGCATGGATGCTGGTGTGATGCTCAAAAATTCTCGAATATTGGCGACACTATGGTTTGGTGGGCATGACCGCGTTCTCATGGTTTGGGCATTGATGCTTCGGTTTCGAATGGTTTGGGCATGGATGCTGGTGTGATGCTCAAAAATTCTCGAATATTGGCGACACTATGGTTTGGTGGGCATGAATGTGCAGGTTGTGGGATGCTCGCACACATGGATGATGTTACAAGCTCCCCGATCCCATGCCAGCAAAATACGGCGAGACGCGGGATGACAATCCATACGCTAGCACAAACTTGCCGTCATTAAACCTATTGAAAAAACTGGCTATGCATCACCGCTCCAGAAGTTTCGACTTATTGGACCATTTCTTAGGTACACACCCCTTACGTGTCTTGCAGAGTCGCGGGATCCCTTGAAATCCCGTTTTCCATGGCCCTGCTAGCGGAGTCGCCCCTACCCCATTCCAAATCTATAATACTTTAAAGCTCCCGAAGAAGCCCGGGGCCGTCAGTGTAGGAATCTAGGGGGAAGAGGGCCGAATTTAAAGTACAAGGTACAAATCCTCATGCAACAAGTTCTATGAGTCGAACTTTTGTAGCACCGCATTATGTCACTTGCGCTTTCTGGAATGTTTCTGGATTTGGTTGGAAAACAAGAGTTAGACTTGTGAGATTTTTGGATTTACAGTTTTCGGGTCAGTTGGTTCCGTTTCTGAGGAGTTCCCAGTGATCCGTTTGTATGACATAAGGCCGATAGTGCTAAGTTTGGTGATAATGCCCTCGTTGAGGTCAAGGTGCAGCACGCGCATCGCAATAACAATTTAGTTTGCTGACTGTAGTCTTGCTATGGAGTCAAGCTGGGGAAGTCGGCAACAGGCATGCAAAAAGCATTCATACACGCGAGCAAAAGCCAATCGGGCGGCAAGCAAGGTAGCCAGACAAAGGCGCATGTGCAATCAGACATGCTCACAAGTAGTGCCCAGCGCCATTAAGGATTTGCGTGTTCGATGAGAATCCTCACAGATTTTTCAACAGGCTGTTTTGCTTGGTATATGTTCCTTCCGACTCCCCAGAAAGCCCGACACATCAAACCTTCAAGCATGAAACGCCAAAGTGGGCATGCGAGATTGTCAAAAAGAATCCAGAATAATCCTCGAACCTACATGGTGGTTCCAGCTTCATATCCCAAACTCGCTACATACCCTGACGAAAGCCTTACATGACCTTAAGATCTTCAGCATCAAGGTCACTCTCAGCAGCTCCTCCGCTCCTGCGACCAAAATCCGCGGCCAAACCAGCAAAGCGATGAGCGGGCATTTAGCGGAACAAAAGCGCATGGTGGCTTGTCGTTTTGGGGGAGAGGATTTGGGCATGTGCTGCAGCAGGGCCATGGCCGCCACATGCATGAGACTACGATAGGGAACTGTGCCAAACGTGGTATTGAGAAGGTCATTCAAGAAGCTGCAGAGCAGACTGGAAGAGCTCTGCATTGAGGAGCTTCTGAAATCATATTGCAGACAGGGATGGATTGATGTTGAGACTTACAGGCGGCAGATTTCAGCGTGCTTTACAGCAGCGAACTTGACTAAAGGATTGGGAATATGGAAGGGTCAAGTCCGTGATCGGATAACCTGAGAAAATCAGATTCATGTATAGAGATATCTTTCTTTTTTTATGATTTTGTGCCTATTGATATTTCATGGAAATATATCTCTATGATTTTAAAGGCGCGGATATCAAAAAAAGATTGATATCGTTGGGATGAGATCAAAATAAATATTCAGATATTATCAGATTTTTCTGGAGCTCGTACGCATGGATACGAATAGAAAAATTTTCTGAATTAAGATAGAGAGTAATTAAATTTAGATATGATAATTAGATTTGATTGATGATTATAATATACGATCAAGAATATAATCGATTCTCGGAATTATTATATATTATCTAAATATATGATGTTCTGATTAAAATAAAGAAACGTTAAAAATTATTAGCTCCGTATTAGATTATCAAAAAGAAATTTGAAAGATTAAATTCATTTTCTATCGTAATAGAAAATGAAATCTTATTTCTACGGATAATTTTATATAGATATATTCTCTCTGTCTTCTATCGGATATTTATTTTTTAAAGTATATTTTCATTTCGGCGTATTTTACGATCTTAGATCTGGGAGATTTTGATGGAGAGGATTTAAAATAATGGATCGTTTAAAAAAAATATTCAAAATAATCAAAAAGTACGTTCTCGCTCGAAATATCTTCAAAATTTCGTTGATTTCTTAATTTTTTTCTGATTTTATGAAAATATCAAAATTACGTATTTTTGTCGACTAATCGATTTATTTTGATTCCTTGCTCTTTTTTTTATTCTCTTGATCAATAATGCCTTCAATACGGTTCTTCCGTCGGTCTTTTTGGAGGAATCTCGACAAGATGCCCCTGCCTCTTCTCGCTTTGCTTCGTGGTTTTATGGGGCGGCTTCCTATTTGGTTTACGAGGGGTCTGCATATGCCAATTCAAGAGGGCAATAGGGATGCCCAATGATGATGGCTTTGTTTTCTCTGGCCCGCAAGCGACATGCAGAGGAAGCCGCAACAGCAACCGGAATCACGCTTCCATTCCAGCCGGAATATGCGGACGATGGCTTCTGTGGAGGGAGGGTTAGGATGTTAGCCGGTATTTTCGAGAAGAAATTAGATTAGTGGAAAAATTTGACTTGAAATACGATCTTTCCCAGTGCATGGTTTAGCTGTTGTCAGGCGATCAGTTCAGAGGGGATGTGTCTGGTTTCTAGGAGCTTGGGGTTCAGATTAGGACGGGCAACGATATCTAGATGCTGAAAATACCGGTGTCAGGACAACAGATTTTCATGAATGAATTCTGTGATATTAGGAAGGAATAATTCGAATTATCCTTTCGCATGATTGAGGAATTACAGAACAAATATGTGGCTTCCCATCTCTTGCAACAATATATGAGATTTTGTCAGCTATAATATCTTGCTAGAACCGCTCCCC